GGGCAGCTCTCTAGGCCCTCTACTCTTTTCTATTTTTACCAATGACCTGCCACTGGCATTAAACAAAGCATGTGTGTCCATGTATGCTGATGATTCAGCCATATACGCATCAGCAACCACAGCTAATGAAGTCACTGAAACCTTTAACAGAGTTGCAGTCTGTTTTGGAATGGGTGGCCACTAATAAACTGGTCCTGAACATCTCTAAAACTAAGAGCATTGTATTTGGTACAAATAATTCCCTAATTCTAGATCTCAGCTGAATCTGGTAATGAATGGTGTGGCTGTTGAACAAGTTGAGGAGACTAAATTACTTGGCATTACCTTAGATTGTAAACGATCATGGTCAAAACATATAGATTCAATGGTTGTAAAGATGAGGAGAGGTCTGTCTGTAATAAAGAGATTTTTTGACACCACACTCCAAAAAGCAAGTTCTGCAGGCTCTAGTTTTGTCTAATCTTGATTATTGTCCAGTCGTGTGGTCCAGTGCTGCAAGGAAATACCTAGTTAAGCTGCAGCTGGCCAAAAACAGAGTGGCACGTCTTGCTCTTCATTGTAATCAGAGGGCTGATATAAATACTATGCATGCTAGTCTCTCTTGGCTAAGAGTTGAGGAGAGACTGACTGCATCACTTCTTCTTTTTATAAGAAACATTAATGTGTTGAAAATCCCAAATTGTTTGCAGTCAATTTACACACATCTCTGACACACATACTTACCCCACCAGACATGCCACTAGGGGTCTTTTCACAGTCCCCAAATCCAGAACAAATTCAAGAAAGTGTACAGTACTATATAGAGCTATTATTGCATGGAACTCCGTTCCATCTCATATTGCTCAAATAAACAGCAAACCTGGTTTCAAAAACCAGATAAAGCAACACCTCACGGCACAACGACATTCCCCAATTTGACCTAGATAGTTTGTGTGTATGTATTGATATGTAGGCTACGTGTGCCTTTTTAAAAAATTTATGTAGTTCTGTCCTTGAGCTGTTCTTGTCTATTAATGTTTGTATTATGTCATGTTTCATGTTTTGTGTTGACCCCAGGAAGAGTAGCTGCTGCTTTTGCAACAGCTAATGGGGATCAGAATAAAATACCAAATACCAAATATATTTCAGTCCTCAAGGGACTGGTCTGCTGAACCAATCACAGGCATAAGAGCAGTGTAAGAGCTTTAAAAACAAAACAAAAAACGCCTGGAATTTCAGCCTGTTCAGTATGACATCACAATCTGATCTGATTACTCTGACCACTGAATATTACTGTGAAGGGTAAGCGGGTAGGCTCTAGACTCTAGACAATCCTATCCGCAAATCAATGGCTGTGTATGTAAATATAATTACATTTGTATCAACACGGCCACAAAATCAGACTGAGCATTTAAATGGCAAAAGGAGGCTCAGGGAAATAAATTATAAAAAATATATGTTGAGTTATTTTCATGCAATAAACACACAGTGATGACACATTCTATAACTGTCAGCTGACAAAGGCTTCTGAGCAGATTCCAAGACAATGATACAGCGTCATCTAGTGAGGATATGTGAAACTACACCCAGAGCAGAGCATCACATAAGGCCATTTTAGCCTCCACACAACTTTGAAAAGGTGAGGACAACACATATAGTTAAATAGACGACTCTATATGGATAGACACCTGCTTTGGCATGCATGGACATTGCCATTGAGGGCTTCCACCACTTTAAAGTAGTGGGTGGGACTTCCTATGTGTTAAGGAAGAATCACATTAATTCCACCTGGGTCATCAACCATTGAATTATACTCATGAGCAAACACTAGGTGGCAGTAAAAAATAAAGATGTTTTATTGTTTATTATTACACCTTGTTGGCTCGGGTATTCGAACCAGCGATCTGTCAGTTATTAGGTTCCCTTTGATCTGCTGTAGTTGTAAGCATGTCATGTGAACAGAGGCTATTCTCTTCTACTATCAGTAGGGGAGGCACACTAATGCAACAAACCAATACCTTGTAAATTCACTGAACAAGCTTTAAGAACAAGTTTGCTCCAAAATATCACCACAGATTATATTGAATTTATTACACTAGCACAGTAATGTAATATCTCTACATAAATTGTAGTTTACTCCCCTTACACAGGCACCCTGCCCAGTCATGATCATGTGTTATATACAACCGCCAGACTATATTTAGACAACCATAGGCAGTTGAAGTACAGTAAAGGGGGTCATAATCTACCAGCTGAGCGAGGTCCTCAGGTTCCTAATTTATGTACCTGAGCTACTTACTGTACTATAACAAAATTATCCATCACATCCAACCGGCCCAAGATATGATTGATCTCATTGGCTGTCCCTGCCTGTCACCGCAGAGGCATGTGTGGGTTGGACTTGGAGGCATTTGGAGTTAAAGGGGTGAGATGTCATGAACCAGATTACCAGAGGCTCCTGTGGCAATCCCATAAACTACCAAATATAGCCTTGTGCAGCCAGGGATAGCTCCTTTTACAGAGGCCTCCTCTGACCCAATCTCAGAGGGTGTCTTGTAAAGGACATTATGAAGACTGCAAAGAGACTGGCAGCCAGAGATACACACACTAACTGAACAGAGTTGAAGTTCCATCCACACTCCAAATAACTGCCATCAGTACATGCTAAAGTTAGCTTATGGCAGTGCATTTCTTTTGTACAAAAAAAGTTTGCAATAGAAATTGCATATAAAGTATTACGCAAGACAAGGAGACACTCATATAGTGAAGTACAGTCAATTTATTTATTCATGGAAAACATTAATATTTCACATCTTTAAATTTGTATGCTACCTCCAGAGGTTTAACAGTCCTTAACCATGTGTCTTTTCCAACCTTTGAATCAAAATTAACAAACCAGTAAAAGCTAGCCAGAAACTGTTTTAGTCCCGAATGTGTCTTTTAAGCAACGATTCAGTACCTCTGCTAGCATTCCTGTCATTCAACCCTAAATAATAAATTTTTAAACCCCTCATTTATACCAGTCTGAAATATTAATTTTTTCAACTCACTGACAAAAATAAATATATTAGTGAATATATACTTTGTTCAGCAGAACAGCAAGCGGAGCACGGATAAAAGATGTGAACACTTGACGACAACATGAGGATCTGACAAATCCACAGGAGCAAGAGACAAAATGAGTTGTTCTAGCAGCAGCAACATTGTCTTTTTTACAGAACCTTTTCAAATATACGGTTTACACCAAAGTGCAAATAGGTACGTACTGTATATAGTTTATACTGTATATTCATAATATGTTCTAATTTAATAATTGCTCTTGCAAGAAGGTTGAGGCTTTAGAGTATTATGGCACATTTAAAAACCAAGGATAAAACATCTCAGGTCATACTAGATCAACAATAGGTCATGCAAAGTTTACAATGCACTAATATATATTTGTGACCAAATTGTTTAATTAATGTATACATTAATATTTGATAACACATTTAAAAAGTATAACATTTATATTTGTATCAGGATATATGTTAGCAGATAAAATATCTTTACAGCAATGCTCTCAAAGTGTGTTACCATAATCAACGTCCTGAAACTGTACATCAACGTACTCCTATGCCATAGGTCAGTGGTGCTGGGAAATTAAAAGCCTTGTTTGAGAACGAAAGACAACAGCCTGCCCAAACAATGAAAAAAAGAAGACTTAAAACCAACCAGCCAGTGATATTCTAACAACTTCACACATCCCCTTAGGGATGGGAGAAGTCTCTCCTCAACCTAGCACCAATGCAACCTCTTCCACTGTAATTCTTGCACCAACCGTTAGTGACATTATTTATTTATTTATTTATATGTGTATATATTTATATTACACACACACACACACGCATACATACATACATACACACACACACCGAGTGTACAAAACATTAGGGACACCTGCTCTTTCCATAATATAGACTGACCAGGTAAAAGCTATGATCGCTTATTGATGGAACTTGTTAAAGGGGAGGAGACAGGTTAAAGAACCATTTTTAAGCCTTGAGACATGGCTTGTGTGTGCCATTCAGAGGTTAAATGGGAAAGACAAAAGATTCAAGTGCCTTTGAACAGGGCATGGTAGTATGTGCCAGGCGCACTGGTTTGAGTGTGTCAAGAACTGCAACACTGCTGGGTTTTTCACACAAAACAGTTTCCTGTGTGTGTATCAAAAACGGTCCACCACCCAAAGGACATCCATCCAACTTGACAACTGTGGGACGCATTGGAGTCAACATGGGCCAGCATCCCTGTGGAATGCTTTCGACACCTTGTAGAGTCCATGCCCGGACAAATTGAGGCTGTTCTGAGGGCAAAATGCAACTCAATATTAGGAATGTGTTCCTAATGTTCTGTACGCTCAGTGTATAGCTATATATTTATGTATATACATCCAGTGTATAGCTATATATTTGTATATACCTCCAGTGTGTATACAATCCACAATCTCTGATGGAATCAGAACCACCTTGTTGTGACATGAAACTGTCTCAGAAGGGGTGCATGCAAGAAGGCAGTTACCCAATTCAATATTAGAAATCAGCACTGCGATTTGTGAGTGCGCAGTTAGCATAAATTGTTTTCAGGGTGGAAAAACACTCAAAATAGTAAGCTTCTCTCTATGAGAAAAAGACAGCCATCTCTGGCATGGATTCCTATCCCTCTGCCTCGTCCATGTTGCCCTTTCCTCAAATTTAGTCGGCATCTGGGAGCCTCCCAAGGATCTTACTCCGGAGTAAGGGTCTCATGCCTCGTTAAAGCTTAGTCCATTAACTTCTGTTAGGGATTCATCTGCAGTTGCTCTTAAAACAGATACCCTAGAAGTAGTTGGATTATTTTGATTAAAGAATTTTATACATTTAATCATTTTTTTAGTTGTACATTTTGGCTTGATTATTGGTTTGTTTTCTTAAAGACAGAGTGATCTTAGGAGGACAAGCAATGTAAGAGAGAGAAATGTGTGAGAGCACAGTCCACTTCACTTGGCTGTCATCATCTGCACAAACTCTGCAAGGAAGAACAAAACAGGGAGAAAGAAATTAGAAGAAATCCACAAGAATAAAGAGCATTCTGTTAACAATGATAACATCACAAGGCATACTAATAAGATTGGAACAGAGTAACATGAGGAATCAATATCTTCAATACTATTTTAAATTCAATGAACAGTGATGAATTAAGCTGTGAGTGACTATGTCATGTATAAACCCAGTCCTTTTATGGCCTTTCCTTTTAGCATCAAAGCAAAGAGAAGTAAGGCACACAAAACCAGTTTGTCTCTCACCAAGGACTAGAGGAAAGCCTGAAGCATCGCTTCACAGTGTAAATACAGGCCTTGTCCTGGCATAACTGACATGGGCAACGGTGGAAAGACACTGACTTCAGTAAACTCACAGTAGATATGAGAGGAGAAGCAGGAAGAGGGAGGGAAAAAGGAGGACGAGGAGGAGAGAGAAGAATGCCCGGTTTTAAGAGAATCCTTAGCCCTTACTTACACCTCTGATTTTTGCAGATCGGAAGGTACCAGGGAAGTCTAAGAAATACGGTGATAGCTCCACCTTGCCTCGCAATGGGCTTACTAAGGGGAGCTTCCACCATTTTGATTCCACCTATCCGTTTCCTTTATATCTGCAAACACACGTGTGGGAGAGCGGAAGGACGTTGAGCTCACCCTCATAGTTGACCTGTCCGTCTCCGTCAATGTCGGCCTCGCGGATCATCTCGTCCACCTCCTCGTCTGTGAGCTTCTCCCCGAGGTTGGTCATGACGTGCCGCAGCTCTGCCGCGCTGATGTAGCCGTTCCCATCCTACAGGGAGAACAGGCTCATTCAATATGTAAAGAGAGAAGGTTCTACATACAGTACTTTAACCGGTCAGAATGAGATCAGGTCTAAACAAGAGTTTTCTATCTGAACGATCAGTGACATCTCCCTCTCCTGATTACAGCCCGGGCATATCTGGTCTGCTGGCACATGAACATGGTCCCTGGCTGCCCCATCTATGTGACAGCCAGAGATATGCATGGCTCTGGTCCGTCTGCTCACCCAGCCCCAGCCTGGCGTTATCTCTGGCTCTAGCTCGCCAATAAACAGAGCTGGGGAATGCTGACACAGACTGGCATCATAGCAGACTGGCACCGTAGCAGTAACCAGGCTTCTTCAGGACAGTTGCACAAACGTCCCACAGAAACAAACTTACACAAATCACACCACTCACAACGATCCGTCAAAGAGGCTGCAAACAAACAACAGCAATACACACAATTTACGTGCACACACATTCCCTAAATCACATGGCTCTGTTCCAGGCTGCATGAAGCAATAGGCAATATAAGCCCAGCCAATGAGCTCTCCCTGTTATCTTGTGACCTAGATTTCTGCACTGCAATAAGCCCCTATCCTGCCTGCGGGTAATGTAATACTCCACTGCCTGTCAACAAACAAAGCCCTCCTCTCAGCAACACAGTTTAGACATATCCATGATGACAAACACTGGATTACACAACATCAGGATTGCAGAGACACGCACACTAGCAGTGGCGCCGTAGTCCATCACACTTTCAACATCACATTCTTAGAACATGAAGTGTTGGGGTTTTTTTTCTATCACTTTGGTGCAATTTTCACAAGTATGTGGTACATTTTCACAACTCTTAAGCACATAAATGGCTCATGTCTCAAAACAATAAGCACATTTCCAATTGACTGAGTACAACAATCAAAGGAGATGGTGTTGAGTGTGCGTACCTTATCAAAGACTCTGAAGGCTTCTCTGATCTCCTCCTCGCTGTCTGTGTCCTTCATCTTCCTTGCCATCATTGTCAGGAACTCTGGGAAATCGATCGTCCCGTTACCTAAGGACAAACAGCACCGTCTTTATTTTACGTTTGTGCGCGCACACACAAAGACTTATTTCAGAATGAGCAGTGTTCAAATGTTGTTGGTACATTTTGGAATGAGCCCAAAGAGAGAGAGATATCATCTTTGCATCTGAGTGCATGGGCAGCACCACTGTGGCAATTTCCATTTTTAAGTAGTCCATTATTATTATTATTCTTGTTGGCAAACAAACTGAAAGGGTGCAAACTACCACCTATTGTGTTGTTTGAACAGATATAAAGCCATGATTGGCGATTTACTGCCACCTACAGTTATGGAATGTTTGCTCACGAGTATAATTAATTGGCTGATCCCTGCTGATGACCCGGATGGAATCATGTGATCCTTCCTTAACCCATAGGAAGTCCCACCCAGTTGACTACTTTAAAATGGTGGAAGCCCTCAATGGCAAGAGAGAGCAATTGAAATGGCGTCTTTTTGTAGGCACTAACTCCGCCATGGCTCATTGGCCAAAGCCTATGGGGAAATTAATGGGTGTTTTGGAGGGTTTCTGGATAAACACCATAAATAAGGTATGTGGTAAACACAGGCTTAGGAGATCATACATGTTTTGTTCCATGAGATAATCTTCATCAGCTAATGTCACTTTCTGTGAATTTTGACGCATTTATGAAATCAAAACAAGCACACACAGGCTTCATAATTTATAAATGGTCATGTAAACTGACTGATATTATCTTATAGAACAAAACGCATAAGATCTCCTAAGCCCGTGTTAACCTCAGCCCTTATTATCGGCAAAACCACATTAATTTCCCCCATACGAATGGCTGAACGAACCAAAGGTAACTCATTTCCGGTTTGAGGACTACAACCTGGCGAGCTCTATGTCCATGACAAAAACAGGTTTTATCCATCTAGGGTCCTCCAACTCTACGGGTGAGCCTCTGTTGTGGGTGGAAACCTTATATTTGAAATGTGATCCACCTTGAAACCAGAGCCATGGTGCCATCCAGGTGAGGTGGCAGGTAGCCTAGCGGTTAAGAGCATTGGGCCAGTAATTATGCAGTGTTTGTGTGTCACCATTCATCCACCATGTGAATCATGTACAAGGGTCAGCCTTGTTGCGTTCTGACCATACGCGTGCGTGCGTGTCAGCACGTGTGAATGAGTACGTCAGTGTGTGTGTGTGTCATTGTACACATCTCTCTAATCTTACCATCAGCGTCTACCTCGTTGATCATGTCCTGTAGTTCTGCCTCAGTAGGGTTCTGTCCCAGAGAGCGCATGACAGTGCCCAGCTCCTTGGTGGTGATGGTGCCATCGCCGTCCTTGTCGAACAGTGAGAACGCCTCCTTGAACTCTGATTACGCAAACAGGGAACAGTGTGGGATTCGTGGAAATGCCTATATTGGGTATGTCAATAGTCTAAATGGTCTTCCTATCCTTGTCTCCTTTCCTTCATCTGCACTGATGTGAGAGAACTGGACAGGTAAGGGCAAATTTCCAGGATGCGTTCAACATATTGATTTCACCCAATTGTTTAGATCTGTGCAGATGAAGAAAACTCTTACAAATACTAAGAATGGCTAGTACAAGATTAGCAGCAGTTGTACAAACTAACAGGCAGAGTAGCCTAAATGTTGGTCACTACCATGAGGAGCCATGAGTCTAAGCACCCACATTATCTGCCAACCGACATGAACTCCGTCACTTCTACTAACTGGGATTAGATTGAAGAGCTTTGATTGGACAGAACCTCACCTTTCAGGGTTAGTACTCACCAGCAATCTGCTCCTCAGTCAGTTGGTCAGCCTGTGAAGACGAGAGGAAGCAAGCGTGAGAGTTGTCCATTGCCATAATATAGCCTAATTGAGGTAAATTAAGCAACAATCACCTAATGGCTGCTCTTTTACTCCTGTGTGTAACCACACCTGCTCCATTGGATTCGCATGAGACCAGATGAGTTGACATGGCAGTGATACTCTCATCCCTATAACCTCAGTGCTCACAGGAGTAGGATAACGTTGTTCCTACACACTGACCACATTTACATGCACACCGATATCCCATTATTATTCGGAATACTCAAGTATTCTTTTTTTGAGTTGACGCATATAAACATATCCGGTTTACAATAACCCGAAAAGGCTTGTATCCTGGTTATGAGAAACCCAGATAAGCTGCCTGGGATATGCTGATTTTAGACGGGATACTGTGACAAGTAAACATCTTATCCCATTTACTGTTGTTTTTCGCGGTCTGCACAGGCTCAGTTTTGTATATCATGGGTGTTGAGTGATGTTTTCATCTGACTGTCAAACAAATCACTTCAAAAAGGTAGGCTACTTGCGCAGTTCGATCCACCATAATTTATTTTGCTGATATTCTGTATTGGACCACATAGCCTACTGGCTACTTTCACCCCTACATTTCTGCTTATAATTTCTGACATTTGGTAAGCCATATTATCATTTCCAACATTTGGTAGGCCATTTGTTTGTCAACTATAGTTAGATACATGCAGCTTCTGTTCTGTCATAGCCTAACTTCTTGCCCAGAAGACTAAATACTCACCAGAATAATGTCTTACATCGATAGAATGAATGCATTAGTAATCTAGTTAACACCGGTAAAGTTGTCTGTTTCGTTTAGGGACCAGGACACAACGCAATAACTCCAAAATAGTGGAAAGACTGGTCCTGTGCAAAATGTAAATCAGTTTGACCCCGTTTTAAGGAAATGAAAAGCTGAGAAATCTATTAGTCTTCAGTTCATCTTGGGTGCATACTTTATGAGAGGTTCTAGGCCTACAGTCAGTGTTCATATTTCAGTTACTATTCCAATTAACCCATATTAACTTCAAATTAGGAATATTTGGACACAACTACTCACTCAAGGATTTTTCTTTATTTTTACTATTTTCTACATTGTAGAATAATAGTGAAGACATCCAAACTATGAAATAACACACATGGAATCATGTAGTAAACAAAAAAGTGTTAAACAGATTCTTCAAATAGCCACCCTTTGCTTTGATGACAGCGTGGCATTCTCTCAACCAGCTTCATGAGAAGGTCACCTAGAATGCAATTCAATTAACAGGTGTGCCTTCTTAAAAGTTAATTTCTGGAATTTCTTTCCTTCTTAATGCGTTTGAGCCAATCAGTTGTGTTGTGACAAGGTGGGGGGAGGGGGGCGCTATGGCTGCCACAGCATTCTACAGTGATATGCCATCCCATGTGGTTTGGAAACCACAGTCCGTCATTACTTTAAGACATGAAGGTCAGTCAATACAGAAAATGTCAAGAACTTTGAAAGTTTCTTCAAGTGCAGTCGCAAAAACCATCAAGCGCTATGATGAAACTGGCTCTCATGAGGACCACCACAGGAATGGAAGATCCAGAGTTACCTCTGCTGCAGAGGATAAGTTCATTAGAGTTACCAGCCTCAGAAATTGCAGCCCAAATAAATGCTTCACTGAGTTCAAGTAACAGACATCTCAACATCAACTGTTCAGAGGGGACTGTGTGAATCAGGCCTTCATGGTCGAATTGCTGCATAGAAACCACTACTAAAGGACACCAACAAGAAGAGACCTGTTTGGGCCAAGAAACACAAGCAATTGACATTAGACCAGTGGAAATGTGTCCTTTGGGTTAGAGTCCAAATGTGAGATTTTTGGTTCCAACCACTGTGTCTTTGTGAGACGCAGTTTGGGTGAACGGATGATCTCTGCATGTGTATTTCCCACCGTAAAGCATGGAGGAGGTGGTGTTATGGTGTGGCGGTAATTTGCTCGTGACACCGTCTGTGATATATTTAGAAATCAAGGCAAACTTAACAGGCATGGCTGCCACAGCATTCTACAGTAATATGCCATCCCATGTGGTTTGGACTTAGTGGGACTATCATTTGTTTTTCAACAGCCCAATGACCTCCAGGCTGTGTAAGGGCGATTTTACCAAGAAGGAGAGTGATTGAGCTGCAGATGACCTGGCCTCCATAATCATTACACTGAGGCCTGTACTCTGGAGCGGGATCGATTTGGAGGTGGAGGGTCCGTCATGGTCTGGGGCGGTGTGTCACAGCATCATCGGCCTGAGCTTGTTGTCATTGTAGGCAATCTCAACGCTGTGCATTACAGGGAAGACATCCTCCTCCCTCATGTGGTACCCTTCCTGCAGGCTCATCCTGACATGACCCTCCAGCATGACAATGCCACCAGCCATACTGCTCGTTCTGTGCATGATTTCCTGCAAGACAGGAATGTCAGTGTTCTGCCATGGCCAGCGAAGAGCCCGGATCTCAATCCCATTGAGCACGTCTGGGACCTGTTGGATCGGAGGGTGAGGGCTAGGGCCATTCCCCCCAGAAATGTCTGGGAACTCGCAGGTGCCTTGGTGGAAGAGTGGGGCAACATCTCACAGCAAGAACTGGCAAATCTGGTAGTCCATGAGGAGGAGATGCACTGCAGTACTTAATGCAGCTGGTGGCCACACCAGATACTGACTGTTACTTTTGATTTTGACCCCCCCCCCCCTTTGTTCAGGGACATATTATTCCATTTCTGTTAGTCACATGTCTGTGGAACTTGTTCAGTTTATGTCTCAGTTGTTGAATCTTATGTTCATACAAATATTTACACATGTTAAGTTTGCTGAAAATAAACGCAGTTGACAGTGAGAGGACGTTTCTTTTTTTGCTGAGTTATATATATAAATAAAATGGTGTAAGAAACTAGGCGACCGTGTCTGTCGGCGCCTTCTCCATTTCCACCAGGAGAATGCTCTGAGGCTTTATTCTCCCTCCCATCAGTTGAGGACGAGGTCTTATCAGGCCTGTCTGAGTCAGTCAGCCAGCACACTTTGGGCTGAGGAAGTGTGATGAGGGATGGGTATAAATACACCTCAGTACGGCTGCTATAATTAGAGCGGCACGAACAGGGTCGCCAATGTAGCACACTGACTATTACGATCTCTGTTACTTTTTGTGGGTCTTCAGACTTGTTGTCATAAGTATTGCTTGAGTGTGAGTGTGCACACCTGTGAAAGTGTGCATGTCCCCTGGAAAATACCAAGGGAACAGGTTTGTGTGCACGTAACCGACAGAAAGCAAGGGGCACACTGACATATCAACGCATGTTCATTACAGTTAAAGGAAAATTCCACCCAAAAACTATTTTTGAATTTGTTTAATTAGTCCATTGTTGACAGTCTCAAAATGTTTTGCTTGTCAGCACTCAAGTTATCAAAATACAGAAATCATCCCCATATGATGCATTTTGCATCATATGATTCTGCGTTTTGCACATGTTCATTACAGTTAAGAAATAATTTAGCCCAAGACATGTGCTCTGCTCTATCTCAGTGAGTCATCAGGAGGAGAGGAAGAAGGAAAGGGAAGCAAGCAGATTGCTGCATATTCTGTCCACGCAGCGGGTTGAGGAAGCAAGCAGTGGTTCAGGAGGATTCAGTTAGTGCCTGGGTTTTAGCATTTACAAGGCAGTGTCAAGCACCAAATGTCTCAGGAAAACAGTGTTGCCTTTGAGCAGTATTGTGATCCCATGTGCCATGCTGTACAGTCCTGGTTAAAGGCTGTTAATATCGTATTCACTGTGAGGTGGTAAAGTAGTGCATTCTCGTTTTTTTGGGCAGATGGCAAGATCTTTAACAGATGTTCAATTGCGTCTTATCCTTTGGCGCAAAACAAACTACCATGAATAATACAGACTTAGCACCAAGGACTCACTTTCATCCCCCAAAACAGCAATTTAGGGGGATAAAGCGGAGCGATTTAGGGGGATAGCGCGGAGCACATGCCTTCGTTTGTCACGCAGGGTCTTTTAGTCTCATTTCCAATTTTTGCAAAGCATGCACTGCGGATCCCGTGTCAGTCTACTGCACCAACCATGTGGTTCAATGCAGTGGGAGGAAGGAGGGGTGGTAACGAAGATCATCCACGAACACCAGACTGCGGATCAACGTGGTGCAATACACAACAGCACCATGAGGAAAGCCTCAAATGTCGCGTGGTTATTGAAATCTCAATTTGCGCAACAACACGATGCACAACAAGTATTACTAGCTAGATCATATTGCGAGCTAACTATGTAATTGAAAACATGACAGACACACAAGTTCGCTTGCTCCGCATACGCTATCAGTTGCCTTGGCACGGTACAATCTGGGCATTGTTCATTGCAAAATACAAAACAACTGGCTCAAGTCTACATAACTTTTTCACCAGATAAATTAGCTCATTTAAATGGCTAGCTAACCAGCCAACTAATACTATCGAGTAAGTTCATTCAATATGCAGTGTTTGGTTATTATTACATCAAACATCGCTATGCTTCTGTCTTAACCACAACGCCCACTCACAAGTACCCAAACGTTAGCTAGCTATCTCCGATACGAATGAAACCAATGAATGACCTTAGCTAGCTAGCCGTATGTAAAATTAGCCATGGCTAACGTTGATCAGATAGTCATGCCACGTACGCGTTGCCTTGGCAAACAATACGTGCCCACAATCGAGCATTTCCTTATTGTCCGTCATCCACTGAGTCCTTATGAGGTTTTCCAACTGCCATTGATTGGTTATTGCGGGGGGCGGCAGGTAGCTTAGTGGGTAAGAGCGTTGTGCCAGTAACCGAAAGGTCGCTGGTTCTAATCCCCGAGCCGACTAGGTGAAAAATCTGTCGATGTGCCCTAAAGCAAGGCACTTAACCCTAATTGCTCCTGTAAGTCGCTCTGGATAAGAGCGTCTGCTAAATCACTAAAATGTAAAATGTAAATGTAATTACAATTCAACGCCAACAGCCCGGCGGTGATATCAACAGTTGAGCTGCCAGACCGACAAACTT